CCATGTTTGTTTTGCTTCGGCCCGGCACTTCTTGCTTTCGTCAAACCCGGATATCCCGCCCTAAACCCCCAGACTGGCGCGTGATTGGCTCGCACACCCAGTGGTTCGACTCGAAAAGTGTAAGCGGGAGCGGTACAAGATGTATTCTCGAGTGTTTGTGAACTCACAAATACCGCGAGAATTCAGCTTGCAGGCAAGGTTACTTTCCTGCACTGAGCGCGGTTGTTTGCGCATGTGCAGTCACCTAAGTGTCAGTAAAACATTACTGAGTAAAACACAGATGTCATTTGACTGTGGTGCCATGTCCATGTGCCATGCCTATTTTTTTAAAATCCAAATATTTCCCCTCCTCAGTTTATAAAATAATTTGCATCCACACATCTGCGTTATCAATCACGTTCGTAACATTCCAAACATGTGCGTGTCTTACGTCCTGTCCTGCGTTGGGGAAAAACACAGAAGTGGGCGGAGCTTTGATGCAGACGCCGGTAACGGCACTTTTACAGTCATAGAAGACACTCAGAGTAAAGACGTATGTTTACAAGCACTGACCCCGTCCTCAGCCCTGGTTTAGTCCTGGTTTAGTCCTGGTTTGGTTGTTTTCGAGCGTGAGTCCGATCACTTTGCTGCTCTCTGATGTGGAGGATGTTCGCTGCTGCGAGCATCTCACAGCGGACAATTTTTAAGGTAGTATGATCCATGCTTGAGTGATCAGAGGAATTTAGGGGGGTACTGTGGCGTGCGAGAACGCAAAACTCCGGTTATCTCTGTCTACACACCAATGCATTAACGGAGTTTTCAAAAATCTCCACTTTGCCCGGAGTTTTTTGTATATATTTGTTTAGAATGTGTAATTTTTTCATTTATTTAATGCGATCTACCAATACTACCTTTGCGATCGACTGGTAGATCGCGATCGACGTATTGAGCACCCCTGGTGTAGAGTGTACTATAGTGTGTAGAGTGTACTATAGTTGTGTAGAGTGTACTATAGTTGTGTAGAGTGTACTATAGTGTGTAGAGTGTACTATAGTTGTGTAGAGTGTACTATTTCGTTGTTCTTTGATCTTTGATTCTTAAATCCCTCCAAATGAAACCAACAAAGCGTCCGCTCGGTGCCAGGTTTTCTGCCTGTAATTATTTTGTCAATCAAAGGCCGCGGCGTTCGTTAAAAAACCAAAAATGGGAAAATTGAGCCTGTATCAAAAAGAGCCGGAGCGTGGCAGAAACACAACATGTCAGACCTCGCACACGTCCAGCACTTTCTTCATAAGTGGTTTCTGAGATTTCTACACAATTTAGAAGATTTTTACTGACTTTAGAAAAACAAACTGACGACAGAAACTATCATTATAAGTGAAACCAAACACCACATATTTTAGTTTTTGCAGAGGACCTTTTTGTGTTATATTAAGATTCTTGTTACTTTATTATGCTAAAGCTAGAGATTTTATTCTAGCTTCTTTATTATGCTAAAGCTAGAGATTTTATTTTAGCTTCTTTATTATGCTAAAGCTAGAGATTTCATACTAGCTTCTTTATTATGCTAAAGCTAGAGATTTCATACTAGCTTCTTTATTATGCTAAAGCTAGAGATTTTATACTAGCTTCTTTATTATGCTAAAGCTAGAGATTTTATACTAGCTTCTTTATTATGCTAAAGCTAGAGATGTTATGCTAGCTTCTTTATTATGCTAAAGCTAGAGATTTTATACTAGCTTCTTCATTATGCTAAAGCTAGATTTTATACTAGGAGCCGATAGCACAGACTGGTTGCTTCGCTTCGGTCAGTGTGCCCCAGGGCAGCTGTGGCTACAGTAGTTTATCACCACTGTACACTGAACTGTATAAACGATGGATTGTGCTAAAACAAGTGAACAGTCAAAGCAGTCGCTGAGTAAAACCCGGCACCGGATGAAGCGGAAGAACATTGATGAGTATAACCCTGAGTGTTCAGACGTTGGAGGATGTTCACATTCCACACACGGACTCATTGTTCCGTCTGCAACACGCTCTATTCCCAGGGCGAGACCAGGACGAGACACACAGAGACCAGGAGGAGACCAGGGCGAGACCAGGAGGAGACCAGGACGAGACACACAGAGACCAGGGCGAGACCAGGACGAGACACACAGAGACCAGGGCGAGACCAGGACGAGACACACAGAGACCAGGAGGAGACCAGGGCGAGACCAGGAGGAGACCAGGACGAGACACACAGAGACCAGGGCGAGACCAGGACGAGACACACAGAGACCAGGAGGAGACCAGGGCGAGACCAGGAGGAGACCAGGACGAGACACACAGAGACCAGGGCGAGACCAGGAGGAGACCAGGACGAGACACACAGAGACCAGGGCGAGACCAGGACGAGACACATAGAGACCAGGAGGAGACCAGGGCGAGACCAGGAGGAGACCAGGACGAGACACACAGAGACCAGGGCGAGACCAGGAGGAGACACACAGAGACCAGGGCGAGACCAGGAGGAGACCAGGACGAGACACACAGAGACCAGGGCGAGACCAGGAGGAGACCAGGAGGAGACCAGGACGAGACACACAGAGACCAGGGCGAGACCAGGACGAGACCCACAGAGACCAGGGCGAGACCAGGAGGAGACACACAGAGACCAGGAGGAGACCAGGGCGAGACCAGGAGGAGACCAGGACGAGACACACAGAGACCAGGGCGAGACCAGGAGGAGACACACAGAGACAAGGAGGAGACGCACAGAGACCAGGAGGAGACCAGGACGAGACCAGGGCGAGACCAGGACGAGACCCACAGAGACCAGGGCGAGACCAGGACGAGACACACAGAGACCAGGAGGAGACCAGGGCGAGACCAGGAGGAGACCAGGACGAGACACACAGAGACCAGGGCGAGACCAGGAGGAGACCCACAGAGACAAGGAGGAGACGCACAGAGACCAGGAGGAGACCAGGACGAGACCAGGGCGAGACCAGGACGAGACACACAGAGACCAGGGCGAGACCAGGAGGAGACCCACAGAGACAAGGAGGAGACGCACAGAGACCAGGAGGAGACCAGGACGAGACACACAGAGACCAGGGCGAGACCAGGAGGAGACACACAGAGACCAGGAGGAGACCCACAGAGACCAGGAGGAGATGCACAGAGACCAGGGCGAGACCAGGAGGAGATCAGGAGGAGACCAGGAGGAGACGCACAGAGACCAGGAGGAGACCAGGACGAGACACCAGGAGGAGACCCACAGAGACCAGGAGGAGACGCACAGAGACCAGGAGGAGACCCACAGAGACCAGGAGGAGATGCACAGAGACCAGGGCGAGACCAGGAGGAGATCAGGAGGAGACCAGGAGGAGACGCACAGAGACCAGGAGGAGACCAGGACGAGACACCAGGAGGAGACCCACAGAGACCAGGAGGAGACGCACAGAGACCAGGAGGAGACGCACAGAGACCAGGGCGAGACACACAGAGACCAGGGCGAGACCAGGGCGAGACCAGGAGGAGACCCACAGAGACCAGGAGGAGACCAGGAGGAGACCAGGACGAGACACACAGAGACCAGGAGGAGACACACAGAGACCAGGAGGAGACCCACAGAGACCAGGAGGAGATGCACAGAGACCAGGGCGAGACCAGGAGGAGATCAGGAGGAGACGCACAGAGACCAGGAGGAGACCAGGACGAGACACCAGGAGGAGACCCACAGAGACCAGGAGGAGACGCACAGAGACCAGGAGGAGACGCACAGAGACCAGGGCGAGACACACAGAGACCAGGGCGAGACCAGGAGGAGACCCACAGAGACCAGGAGGAGACCAGGAGGAGACCAGGACGAGACACACAGAGACCAGGGCGAGACCAGGAGGAGACACACAGAGACCAGGAGGAGACCCACAGAGACCAGGAGGAGATGCACAGAGACCAGGGCGAGACCAGGAGGAGATCAGGAGGAGACCAGGAGGAGACGCACAGAGACCAGGAGGAGACCAGGACGAGACACCAGGAGGAGACCCACAGAGACCAGGAGGAGACGCACAGAGACCAGGAGGAGACGCACAGAGACCAGGGCGAGACCAGGAGGAGACCCACAGAGACCAGGAGGAGACCAGGAGGAGACCAGGACGAGACACACAGAGACCAGGGCGAGACCAGGAGGAGACACACAGAGACCAGGAGGAGACCCACAGAGACCAGGAGGAGATGCACAGAGACCAGGGCGAGACCAGGAGGAGATCAGGAGGAGACCAGGAGGAGACGCACAGAGACCAGGAGGAGACCAGGACGAGACACCAGGAGGAGACCCACAGAGACCAGGAGGAGACGCACAGAGACCAGGAGGAGACGCACAGAGACCAGGAGGAGACGCACAGAGACCAGGAGGAGACCAGGACGAGACACCAGGAGGAGACCCACAGAGACCAGGAGGAGACGCACAGAGACCAGGAGGAGACGCACAGAGACCAGGACGAGACCAGGAGGAGATCAGGAGGAGACCAGGACGAGACACACAGAGACCAGGGCGAGACCAGGAGGAGATCAGAAGGAGACCAGGAGGAGACGCACAGAGACCAGGACGAGACCAGGACGAGACCAGGACGAGACCAGGACGAGACCAGGACGAGACCAGGACGAGACCAGGAGGAGACCAGGAGGAGACGCACAGAGACCAGGGCGAGACCAGGAGGAGATCAGGAGGAGACCAGGACGAGACACACAGAGACCAGGGCGAGACCAGGAGGAGACCAGGACGAGACACACAGAGACCAGGGCGAGACCAGGAGGAGACCAGGACGAGACACACAGAGACCAGGGCGAGACCAGGAGGAGATCAGGAGGAGACCAGGAGGAGACACACAGAGACCAGGGCGAGACACACAGAGACCAGGGCGAGACACACATAGACCAGGACGACACACACAGAGACCAGGAGGAGACCAGGAGGAGATCAGGAGGAGACCAGGGCGAGACCAGGACAGAATCTAAGTAAAAACATTGAGTTTCCTCTAATCTTCAGACCCAGGAACCTGTGCATCATAAATACTGTGTACATCGGACTCTGTTATCCATCCTCCACAATCTCCTCTGCTGCTCTTCCATCTCCCCCCCTCCCTCACCACTACCTCACCCCCCCCCCCCCCCCCCCCCCCCCCCCCCCCCCTCCCCCCCTCCCCAGGGCCTCGGGAAATCTCTGAGAGGCACGGGGCCGTTTCTTCTGCGTTTATCTGTGGATGAAAAAGTAACAGTCGGACTAAATGCTTCGTCCTGAGCTCTCGTCTGAGGCGGATATTTGCCTTCTCAGGGTCCTCTGACAAGGTTAGAGGAGCCGTTCAGACGTGATGGAGAGGGAGGTGATGGGGGAGGGAGGGGGAGGTGATGGGGGGGGGGGGGGGGGGGGGGGGGGAGTTTGTACTGATGCCACAGAGATGGAAGAGCAGAGGTTTGGGATAAAACAAAAAAGTCACTGTAAAAGTCACTGTTTCTGAATACAAACAAATGCCATGAGAATATTGGAAACACAAATTGAAGAGAGGAGATAGACCTGGACCTGCAAGACCACGCCTCAGACCTGGACCCTGAGACCTGGACCCTGAGACCTGGACCCCTGAGACCACGCCCCCTGAGACCACACCCCTGAGACCACGCCCCCTACTCCAACTTTTTCGGTCCTACTTTTGAATCTGTGGAAAACGTTTTACTGGATCTTTTCTGTTCATATTTTTTCTGGATGAGATACAGTTTTATTACGTTACAATTATTTCCAACATGGAATATTCACAAAATGCGTCTTGAACCTGTAAAGTCCTGATGAGATTTAGAACCTATTTTGTTTTCAAGGGAGTCCTGCAGTAAATTCTTAAAGCTATATACTGTAGGAGAATACCTTACTTCCGGGTGGATCATGAAGACTACTGGTCCTCCCAACTGTGCTCGTCCAATAAGACCAGAGAGTTTAGTTCAAAAAGTGGATTAAAAAGCGGTTCTTTGCTAAAATTTGTGAAAATCCTCTTCAATACTGTTAACGTCCAATGGAAATTTACCAGAAACTTTCCGTAACTGTCTCATAAATGTTCCACCCTTTTGCAGTTCCACTTTCAAAGGAACCAAAAACCAGATTCACATGAAAACAAACTGCTTCCTTTTTGTGACGGACGTAGAAAAGCTCCAGACGACGCCGTGTCCTTACGACCGCTACTAAAGCCTGTGTGTGTGTGTGCGGCGGCCGGGAGGACCTGAGAGCGCCGGGTTGTTTAGTGTTTGTGTTGTTGATTTGAAGCAGCACTTTGGTCCCAGACTCTCAATCCCCTTCAGTCTGAGCGCCGCGAACGCTCTGAGGACTGAGGAATCATTTCAACCAAATCCCTCCAGCCTCACAGGGTCAGGGCTGGACTCAGACGCAGAGAAGACACAGAGCTGCTCTGTGCCTCGTGAACCACAGGCTTTGTTTTTACAGTTGTTTTTTTGATGGTTTGAGTGCTCTCTCGCTTTAGTGTGTTGCTGTTTTGTGGATTTGTGTGTGTGTGAAATTTGGCAAATCCTCCGATGACATCACATACATCAGCCGACAGTGAAACATGACAGTTACCTTTATGTAAAGTCAGAAGAAAATGTTTGTGGCCTGTGTGTGTGGGGATTAGGACTCTCTCTCTGGTCTCTCTCTGGTCTCTCTCTGGTCTCTCTCTGGTCCCTCTCTGGTCCCTCTCTAGTCTCTCTCTCTGGTCTCTCTCTGGTCTCTCTGGTCTCTCTCTGGTCTCTCTCTGGTCTCTCTCTGGTCTCTCTCTGGTCTCTCTGGTCTCTCTCTGGTCTCTCTCTGGTCTCTCTCTGGTCTCTCTCTGGTCTCTCTCTGGTCCCTCTCTGGTCTCTCTCTGGTCTCTCTCTGGTCTCTCTCTGGTCTCTCTCTCTGGTCTCTCTCTAGTCTCTCTCTGGTCTCTCTCTGGTCTCTCTCTAGTCTCTCTCTAGTCTCTCTCTGGTCCCTCTCTAGTCTCTCTCTGGTCCCTCTCTAGTCTCTCTCTGGTCTCTCTCTGGTCTCTCTCTGGTCCCTCTCTGGTCTCTCTCTGGTCTCTCTCTGGTCTCTCTCTGGTCTCTCTCTCTGGTCTCTCTCTGGTCTCTCTCTGGTCTCTCTCTGGTCTCTCTCTAGTCTCTCTCTAGTCTCTCTCTGGTCCCTCTCTAGTCTCTCTCTGGTCCCTCTCTAGTCTCTCTCTGGTCTCTCTCTGGTCTCTCTCTGGTCTCTCTCTGGTCTCTCTCTGAGTGTTTGGACACAGGCCCAAACACTCTCTGACCCTACACTTCTCCATCCCTCAATCGTAGCTGCGGACGATCGATCCCTATTAATGTCAAAGTCCATTATACTGTGCCATCCATCTCCTATTGCAGAAGTGCAGGCCAAAGTGTGTGTGTCTGTGTCTGTGTCTGTGTGTGTGTGTGTGTGTGTGTGCGTTTGTGTGTGTCTGTGTGTGTCTGTGTGTGTGTGTGTGTGTGACAGAGCTTACTGCCGTGGTCCCGGACAGAGAAGTTGGAGCTGGGACTTGCCAGACTGAAGCTGAAGGAGGCGGCTGCTCGTCTTTATCAGTGGCTCGCAGAGTCCCCAGCACCTGAACAGAGAGGGAGGGGGGGGGGGGGGGGCATGTGAGAACTCTGTCTGTGTGTGTGTGTGTGTGTCTGTGTGTGTGTGTGTGTCTGTGTGTGTGTGTGTGAGTGTGTGTGTCTGTGTGTGAGTGTGTGTGTGTGTGTGTCTGTGTGTGTGTGTGTGAGTGTGTGTGTGTGTGTCTGTGTGTGAGTGTGTGTGTGTGTGTGTCTGTGTGTGTGTGTGTGTGTGTGTGTGTCTGTGTGTGAGTGTGTGTGTCTGTGTGTGAGTGTGTGTGTGTGTGTGTCTGTGTGTGTGTGTGTGAGTGTGTGTGTGTGTGTCTGTGTGTGAGTGTGTGTGTGTGTGTGTCTGTGTGTGAGTGTGTGTGTGTGTGTGTCTGTGTGTGTGTGTGTGAAAGGAGTTCACAGATTGACTGTTCACAGACTCAACCAGCTCAATTATTTCTTTAAAGCTGCATTAGCTCAATTTATTTTTGTATTTTGTATGAGTTAAATCCAGTCCATGTCCTGCAGTGCATCGGGACATACGTCCTTTTGAAGA